GTACTCGCGTGGCGAGATCAACATCGACTCACTGCCGGACATCGAGGAGGACGCCGCTGGCCGGCCTGCGCCGCCGACCGAGCCGGGCCACGGCCTGGACATGCGCCGCGCGCGGCCGTCCTGGCGAGCCGCCGGCGCGCCCCGTCGAGACTCCGCTCGACCTGAGCAAGCCGGTGCGCGTGAGCACGGACCCCGAGCCGCGTCACGGCGACGGCCCTCTGACCGACTCTAGCTGCGACCGCAGCGGCGACGACTTCGGGGTCTTCATGGACGCGCGCTCCGAGGCCGAGTCGATGGACTTTGAACGCTTCAGCAACGCCGGCTCGCCAGCGTCGAGCACGGCAAGCTTAGTGCCCCCGGGGCCGCAGCCCCTGGCGCCGCAACAGCAGCAGGCCAAGCCCAACAAGCGCTACCGCACGCAGATGTCACAGACCCAGGTGAAGATCATGAAGCAGCTATTCTCCGAGTACAAGACGCCGACCATGTCCGAGTGCGAGCTGCTGGGCAGTGAGATCGGGCTTGCCAAACGCGTGGTACAGGTCTGGTTCCAGAACGCTCGCGCCAAGGGCAAGAAGCAGCAGCAGGTGCAGGGTTTCGAACCAGAGCCGCCGCGCCCGGCAGAGGAGTGTCGCTACTGTAACTTCAAGTACAGCCACAAGTACGCCATCCAGGACCACATCTTCACCCGCAAGCACATCGAGAACGTGCGTGCCGCCATCGAAAACGACCGGAAGACGGACGGCTTTTACCAGCCGCCGGCGTCCCACGCGCCGCCCTCGGCCGCCCCGGCGCCCGCTCCAGCGCCCGCCCAGGCGCCCGCGCCGGCACCCGCGCCGCCAGCCGACCCTCCCACGCCCGCAGAGAAGCCCCTGCCGCCCGTCAACAAGAACATGTCACTGCTGCTGCAGCAGATGTACGGCATGGGCGCGCCACTGCCGCCGCAGCTACCGCTCGTCCAGAACCAGCCCGGTGAGTACCGCGATATGACGCCTGGCCGCGGTTCTTCTCCATCTCCCCCCCCCCCCCCCCTCTCTCTCTCTCTCTCTCTCCCTGTATCTTTCTCTCACGTGCGCGGTCTCTTTTTCTGTCCACGCTCAAACACGGTGTGGTGGTTTCACGCCGTCGCTTTGTTTCCCCGCGGACGTTCGCGTTCGTGGGTGTCTGTGCTTGTTCATTTGTGTGTGTGTGTGTGTGTGTGTGTGTGTGTGTGTGTGTGTGTGTGTGTGTGTGTGTGTGTGTGTGTTTGTCTGCCTGTTTGTCTGTCTGTCTGTCTGTCTGTCTGTGTGAGTGCATCGCGGCACATGTCTGTGACGTCACCGCAGGCAGCGGACGATGATGTCCACGCAGCCAGAGGAGCGCCGGTGATGTGAGTGTGGTCTGAGCTCTGCAGGCGGCGGATGCTCGCTGTCCGCAGCCGAGCGTCTCCCAGCGGCCCCGTCTCCGCATCTCCAGCCGTCTCCGCCCGATTGGCACGGACGGTTGCCTGCCGAATTTGAATTGGCCCACGCTGTGGTTTGGCCCGGCCGACCGGGGATAACGACATGAAATTATACGCCGCCGGAATCAAGGCTGGCGGGCGGGGCCTTTCACACGCTAATTATCCCCACACAGACAGACGGAGGTGCCCGGCCCACAGCGGCACCCGACACAAAGACAATCTCCAGATCTGTGCAGTGTGCACGTGTAATCAACGGACGCCAAGGCAGGCTCAAGTTGTCACACAAAAATGCGCAGAAACTCCAGGCTGAGTCAGTCGAGGAAAAATTTGGCCACCAGATGCACAGAAGAACTTCAAAAAGTTACATGCATGGGTACGGTCACTTGGCACGAAGGAAGACCCCCAGATCTGTGCTTAAGGCGTCCATCACACAGTCACACGAAAACACACACACACACACAGCACGCAGCACACACACACACACACACACACACACACACACACACACACACACACACACACACACACACACACACACACACACACACACACACACACACACACACATGCATCCAGATAGGAACGAAACATGGGGCTGTTGAAGCGCGGATGTGGGCAACATTTAGCAGCCTTCTTTGGTGCCGAGTGAATTGGTCAAGTATTGAATACCATTTTTCCCAAAGAGGCTTTGCACTATGCAAGCCTCGGGCTCATGCGTTTCCGGTAGATCACAGGTGTACGTACCTACTGACGCAAAATAAGCAGGCTGAAGCACAAACGCTGCGATTAAGCCACTTTCCTAGCGAGTGTTTTCATGCAAACATGACCTGAATGTGGCCGACAGCTGACAAACACACGTGCAAAATCACCACACGGTACCTGGCACTCAACGCTGAGTGAAACCGAATGGTCGTCCGCCGTATCATCGGCGGGGCAATCACCTACGCAGCCACACTAGAACGATGCCGTTTAAATCATATTAAAGTCAACAGCACGTGCACAGCGCGGTGCTTGGTGCAGTGCCGGCAAAGCTCAGCCAGCAGTTTGGCGCAATACAAGCGCCGGTCAGCGGTCCAGCGCGGCGCCGGCTGGAAGTTTTTCATCAGAGGAGTCGGACCGCCATGTATTTGCACGGCGTCCAATATGTCTCAATTAGGGCATGTCGCAGTCAATAAAGTTCGGCCATTATTTTAATTCTCCCCAGGCCAGCGGTCACTTTAATTTCAATTTGCTTTGTATTTCTAATCAAACTGGACATGCCAGGCCCGGACGAAGTTGGAGGAGATTGAGTCGGCGGCCGCCGTCGGGCGGTAGCGCGAGCTGCCCCTCCCCTCCCCCTCTCCGGCGCCGGCATGCAATTAAACCATTTGGAGCTCCATTGGCGAGGGGACCTTGGGCCGAATGAAACCAGTAATCAGACTTTTCATTAAACGATTGAGCTTGGCTGGCAAAACTGACGGGTTTAACTGGCTGCCAGACGGCTGGCGACGGGGCGTGGGTGTTGCAGAGTTGTGCAGGGTCGCTCGGACGGGCGAAATCGCTGCGGAGGGCGCCTGTTGTTCCAGAAACGAGCGCCGCTGCAGCACACACACGGCCCCGCAGCGGTGCCCCTGCGGGTGTGGAGTGTCCGTTTGTCTCCAGGGGGCGCACGCTGGCTGCTGGACCCAGGCCAGCCACCGGCTTAGACACCAACCAGTCAACCGAGGCCGGATGTTGTCCGTCCGAGGTAGTTGTTGGCTCGCCCTGTTGACAGCGCCTGTCCTGGTTTTGGTGTGCTGCCGCTGAAGCCGAGGTGGCGGCAGGCTGCCTCGTGCGCATGCAGTGCCCTACTGCGGTTGCCCTGGTGGTTCGCGTTCTGTCTCGTGACAGCTCACATCCCGCCTACTTCGGCGCAGTTTCTCTTCATGCCTCCTGTCGACTCAGGACGGCGGCGGCATCCGCCCCGACCCGTGGCGGCGTCTTTAGGCTGCCGACCGGCCGCCGCTCGGCCGCCGCCCGTGCAGGCGCGCCGCCATCGCCGCCCATTAGCCTTTTAATTGCCGCTGATTACGGCGGCGAATCGAGCGCCGATGCGCGCCGGATTCGTCTCAGCAGCGGCCAGTCGGGGCGGCGCCAGACTGCAGGCGCGCAAAGGAATGTCGCAGCCCTGCCTGCCTCCGTGCTTGAGGGATGTTAGCGATCGGCCCGGGATTCGCTTCCAGGTACGCCCGCGATTATTTCGATCATAATCGACTTTTAATTACAGGCGTGTTGCGTTTATAAATGACTTTAGTGTGCCGAGGCCTCATAATTTCTGCTCTATTAATGGTATGCCTGGATGACAATTAGCAGCGCGCCTCGCCGCCAATTTTCTGGGAATAATCAGACACCATTGACAATTACTGTACGCGGTAATTACACTCCACAAACAAACTGGCGGCGGCCAGTGTCGGCCTGTCATTAGCTGCGCCGGTCGATGAGGCCTCGGGCCGCGGCCGTCGGCACTGATGACGTCTGATGACGCCAGCGGATGGTGTCATCAGGCGTCATCAGGCGTCAGCGGGCCTGTCCGATTGCGTGCGGCGCGCTCTGCCGCGGCCAAGTAGCTCCAGCAAATCATCGCGTCGTGATGCTGGAAATCGGAATCTCACCCTAATTGCGGGTAATTATGACTCAGCCTTGAAACGCCTGGTTTATTCGCCGTAATTCAATGTTGTGGGCGGCGGCGGCGGCGGCGGCGGCGGCGGGCGGCGCGAGCGGCCGCGCAGGCGACGCCGCCGGCCCGTCGCCGGCAGCCCTCTGTTGTCACGCGGCCGGACCGTCGCCCGGCGCCGCCTTTAATTGCGTTCGGCATTGCTTCACGTAATGACAAGCGGCGGCAGCGTTTCGTGCGACGCCGGCATCGATTCTTTGCATCGATGGCGTCGGACTGGTGTCGGACAGGTCACCGGGCACCGGCGAGAGCGGCTCTGTTAATTGTCCGGCGCTGGCCGCGTTCGAGCGGCGGTCCTCATTGAGAGATCGCCGGCCAAAACAAACACTGCCACGCCGCCAGGTTAATAGAGCGGACACCGGGCTGAAAGGCCTGCCGGTATTAGAGGGAGCACGCTGCAGGGCGTCGCTCGCCACCACCGCGCTTATCACAATCGCCCGAGGGTAAATTAAAGTGAATGTGAAATGTCATTGCAAAGGCGGCTGTCGTGGGTCGATATGAGCCATTTGTCACTGCGCGGCGGCGAGAACACCATGAGTATTGCTGCCATGCGCTGGCTCAATTAGTCGCCGCCGTGGGTCGTGTGTGAATTAGGGCCCGACCCAGACATGCGGCCGCTTCCCAGGCAGCTCGGCTGAGCGCGCGCGCGTGCGGTCGCCGTGCGGCAATCTGTCGGCGACGGGCTGGAGAGGAGATGCTACACATGCGACACGGGAGGGCGGCCAGGGCTCGTCACGTGACGCCCTGCCGTCAGCGGCGCGTCACGTGACGTCGACAGCCAGCCAGCTGAGAGAGACGACGCGTGCTATCCAGGAACTCGGACGGTGTCTTTCGAAAAAGCGCAGCTTGAATTATATACTTATCGTGAGGATATCTTCGAACCTTGTCCCAGTATTCAATCTCGATCACTTGTCGCCTGGATGCCATAAACCGTCTGGGGCACCGTGTGGACGTGAGACGGGCAGCGAGGTACCGCTGGGCGGCTAACTGCCTCCAGATCTAGAGGACAAAAAGCAACAATGCAGCGACTCTCCATGCAAAAAATGCCTGAGAGCGTTTTCCTGGCGAGCTTTCCGCTCCGCCAGCGTTTTGTTGGCTTTGCCGGCGACTGCGCCGCTGTGGTGAGCCGGCAGCCAGGGCCTGTAATCAGTGAGTGACCTCGTGCGTGGTGACGAACCGCCGCCCGCTCCCGACGGCAGGGGCGCCGCCAGGTCACGGCTCATGGGGGCAGCTGCCCCCGTAGGCAGGGGCGCAGCCAGGTCACGACTCAAGGGTCAGGGGCTCTCCCTGCTGTGCGCGTCTCGGCAATGAGCTCCTGGCGGTCATGACCGCTCTCGGCTCGTTGGTTGTCGGCTGACCTCCGGAGCGGAGGACGCTCGGCGTGCGCCTGACCCGGGGAGCGGCCGCCACACCAGACCAGGCCGCCGCCCGGCAGACACGTGACATATCTGGCCGTCTATTTTGATGTGTTTCCGTTGTTCTAATTTGTACTTGTCCACTGTCGGCCATTGTGGCGCAGCGCGGCGCCGCTCCTAATTACGCCCGGCGCATTGAAATTACCAGCGCCGAATCTGAAATTACTGCAGAAAGAGGAATAATGAGCGGTCGAAGCGGCCTTGTAATGATTGGTTTATCTGAGCGGGCCGGCGGCGGCCGGGCGCAGCCACCTGCGGCTGCGGCTGCGGCGCCGCTCAGCCCGATCCCAGCGGTGATGAGCCGCGTGTCGGGCCGCCCCCACCCGAGGACGGGCTCTCCCGCCGACGGCGCCGCCCCCTGCCGGCGGATCGGCGCGGGGCTGTGGACGACACCAGGTCAGAGTGACGCGCCGCGGTGCTCCAG